TGTTCGGGAGGTCATGGGTTTGATTCCTGTCGGGGACTCAGAATTTTTCTTTGTCCCACGCTCGTGTCATGTTGATTAATTCACCTTCGCATTTCATTATCGAGCTTAAAATTCACCATCTTTATTAACTTATCATGATATTGTAGTTGTAGAAAAGCTTAAAATGTAGGAACTCTACCCGATCTAAAATGTAGTAAAATTTTGGGCTGAAAATAAAGCATTCCTATTGACTGATTTGGAATGCCTGATGTGCATCACTGTGAAATTAAGAATAAAAATCAGGTATAATAATAAAGAATGCAGAGGAATCTGACTTTTAGAATTTGAAAATTTGAAAATGGTGAATGAGTCATCGAAACGTCATCGAAATTATTATCACTTATTTTTATTCTTAATTGTTTGTCCAAAGCCTCTCTTACTGTGAAATTAGTCAGATAAAAGGAAATTTCTGTAGATTTTAAAGTCTTCTTTGCAGTCACCATTTAGGTGCTTATGCACTGTTTCTTCCCTGTACTGCATTCCTTTTGTTTTGACTGCATTTACTTTGACACAGATTGGAAAGAAAGTGGCGGTTAATGTTTGGCCAAATGCTGTAAGATCGCATTAATTCTAAACTTGGATGCCTATTAATGCATATATAATTTTTTCTCTGCATATTAAGTTTTTCAATCAGGTGTGCGGTATTTGGAGAAAGCTTTGTTTTATTTTGATGTCTGGTGTGTATCAAATTCAAAAGGCGACATCTCTGATGCTTGGTGTAATGATAATTAAGACAGAACTTTTGATTGGTGAAGTTGGTGAATTTTGGCTCAACTTAGATATGAACACATGAGCATTGAAGCAATTATTGGCTAAACCATGCAAAGGAATGTAGGTCACGTATGAGCAGCCGTTAGTGGGGAGAAGTGTTCATTGCAACCCAAATAACAGCAGTGAAAGAGACTTTAAATTTTATTGTTCTTTGTTAAGGATTTCACTTTTGGCCTCGGGTGTATGAGGTCAGTCAAGTGATCCCTTTGCCTGCCTCCTTCTAAAATTCACAGGAACAGCAAAGCAGAAGTTGAAAAATAATTTAACTGACTCAGTAACTGCATTAAGCTAATTTACGTGGAGCAAGACTTATTCAGTTTGTTTGTTGTAGTCCTTCCGTGCTCTCATCTGAGTTGCAAGTGGACATTGATACAGATGATTTGTATCTCAAGTTTGACAAAACCAGCTTCAAACCTGTCACAACTAGTAGGAGCTTTGATGATGTTGTTTGCAATAACAAAGAGGTGAGAAATTAGAACATTTTATTCCTGTAGTACTCCTTTAAAAAAGTTGGGTTGAGTTTTGCAAAATTAATTGAACAGTGTGAATACCCTGTCTGTTGTGTCACTGAGTGATGGAGCATAACTCACTGAATGGAAATATGGTTATACAGTGTGTGTAACATTTAAACCACAGAAGGAAGCTACCAATAGCTATTCAATAGAAACTGCCAACTATTCAAGAGCTAAAATTGTTTATTTTCTGAGAGATTTGTATTTGTTTTGACTACAGAATTTTATCGTAATTTTGTAGTCACAACAAATACAAAATCTCTCAGAAAATAAACAGTTTTAGCAAGAGTTGATGCAGCTGCCAAAAAAAACATATTTTTCGTAACCACATGGCATACGTTAATGCTGTAGATCAAAATATTAATAAAGAAATCATGCATATTCTAAAGTTACCTCTTTACTAATCTGTAATACTTGTGGTATGCATATGACTACATGTAGTTTTTGTTTCCTGAACTTTATTCTCTGTTCTAACCCAGGGATGAATTTTTGTGTGATTTTACTGGATACTTTACATTATGTGGTGCAAAATTACAGGATGGATATCATGCAATAACCCTGTGTCTACATAGATATTAGTCCTCCAATTATTTTCATTGAAAAACAAAACCAGCTCGAGAGTTTCAACTACACATTCTTTAATATTATATTGAAAAAAAACAAACTCATTTTGTAGAGTTCAAAGACAGAGACATTAAAACATTGGTGGCAAATTCTGTTCCTGAAAGTACTAAAAAGTCATCAGAATATGTCAATGTTTGAAGGTGAAGAAAGTTACAACTGTCACATTTTACTTCTTAGGCAAACTTAAATTTGAATCATTTTTTAAAACAGACAATTAATACACTGTGTTTACTTGTACCTTAAATGAGGTTAACTAAACTTATGAAATGTACTTGCTTACATGTATGTTAATCATGCACATTTGCCATTATTATTGCTACTGGCTTTTTTTAGGAACAGTTTTTGTACGATGCAAAAATTAATCAGAGAGTTCTAGAATAAATGAACCCCTTTCTGGCTTGGTGGTATGTTGGCTGATAATGTTGTTAGCTGAAAGATTTGCCTTAAAATTTCACATTTACCCTCAATGCTTCTCTTCCTGGACAAATATTTCTCAGCTGCGAACATAATCAGCTGACATACCAACAAAGTGAGAAGGTGTTTATTTACCAAATAGGACTTTCCTCCAATCTTGTACACTGTAAGTCCTGTACTGTAAAGTTAATAGAGATCAACAATAAAGAATGTTGGAAGAGGTGTTGCATCAGGTCAAGCAGTTTCATTCAATGTACTTGTAATACTTGAATAACACAGTTTTTGTTTCTTTCAGCTGATGAAACGAAGTGTGATTACAAGCGACTTTGAAAAGAGGCATTCTGTTCCTCCAGTGCATGTTTCAAAGTTCACTCACAAAAAACAAAAGAAGGTTAATAAGCCGATAATTGAATATTGCACATATATATAATTATATATAACTATTGAGGTCTAGTGAGACAAAAGTACTGTTATAGTAAATGGTTTGGACCCAGGAGTATCAGTAGTTCGTATAGTGTGATCGTCTGGGTGAGTGTAGTTCTGAAAAGAACTGTTGTT